CCCTCCACCCCAATTAGGCTCCTCTAGACTGTTAATACATATATAGCTTTATGTGGCCAGGGACATAAACACTTTAAATTATGCACACAAATTTTTACTCTTTAATTCTGAATTTCAAGTAACAAGCACCATTTTAAAAAATCTTAATATTTTCAACAAGACCTCTGTTTTCTACACACACACACACACACACACACACACACACACACATTTTAGGCACTAGAGCCAAGACTAATATGCTTTTTATTACAATCGCCACCAGATTGACAGAAAACTAGGTTTCAGACTCCCAGCTTTTTCATGACTATGATATGGCGGACTCTACCCACAAAGGACACTGGCAGACCCTGTGACTCCAACCTCTGGAGCTTTCTTTGTAGTTCCCCTTCACCTGCTATCTCTATAGTCACTCCGTAAGAACACTAGCACTTCTTTACATAGAACTTTCTGGCATAAAGCTTAGAAGATCTTGATTATGCAAATTCTGTATTCATTCAGTCAAAGCAAAATGCATAGTTTTTGATGCAGCTAATTATCCTGTAGATGCTCTTTCCTGTCTCCTATCTCACGGTGAGGGCATCATCCCTAGGCTTTGGGTTTGATCTCAGGCCAGGGCACATACAAGACTCAACCAACAAATGGAACAACAAACTGATGTTTTTCTCGTCTCCCTTTAAAATCAATCAATAAAAATAAAACACATTACCTATGCCAATATAGTTTCAGCAAATCTTAATATAGAACCATGCCCACAATCACAAATATTCAAAGTACTCTTAATTTGGAACAATTTAACAAGCCCTATTAATCTATACTCCCAGGCATGACCCACAATAGCTTTTATTCACTTAATTAATCATTTAACAAGTGTCCATCAAGCATCTGTAACATGTGGGATACTGTACTTGGGATGTACCAGTGAAGAAAACAGACATGGCTACTATCCTCAGGAAGCTGATTCTAGCAGCAAACTTTCATCCAAACATCACACAACTTTTAAGTGTTTACTACAGATATGAAATACACTGGGTGAAATAAATTTATACTCTTAGCTTACTTATATAAGCCATATACAAAATATGTGCACATTATACTTGTCTTATCAAAAGTTCTTTAAGCATTTGAAATAAACCTTGTATCTTCTCTACATTGTCCCCCTAGCAAATATTCACACATGCCCGACACTTCAAAAGGGGGGGAGAAGACAGCATTTTGAAAATATCTTACATATTTTAAACCCTTAAACACATACTGTAGCGGCATTAAAATACATTTAAAAGCCTCTGTAAGCATGCTTGATGGCAAAAGAAAAAAATCATGGCATAAAAATAAGACCTAAAGCATATAATCTAGGCCAGTGGTTGGCAAACTCATTAGTCAACAGAGCCAAATATCAACAGCACAAGATTGAAATTTCTTTTGAGACCCAAATTTTTTAAACTTAAACTTCTTCTAACGCCACTTCTTCAAAATAGACTCGCCCAGGCCGTGGTGTTTTGTGGAAGAGCCCCACTCAAGGGGCCACAGAGCCTGCTCATCCACGGATCTAGGCCATTAGCCTCGAGGGCTAATGACAGCTTGCGATAGTCTGCTAGTCTATTTCAGGTGCGAGAACATCTCCTAAGGGCACGGAGGTTACTGCTCGCTCAGCTCAGCGGGGGAGGGACATCCCACCCTACAAGTGCACCAGAGCCGTCCTCGGACAGGGAGAACGTAAGGGAAGTCCAGACAGAAGGCCTAGACACCGAGCGAATTTTACTGTTTCTCTTAACGACATGTTAAGTTTAAATAGTAGAAAAGCAATGATGGGTTTTGTTATGTAATAACAATAAAATCTGTGTGAGTACATTTGTGTTTTGATAATACTACCCAGATTTTGAGATAGGAGGAAAGAAAGAAAACAGACCATACTAAAAATCAGCATCCAATGAATGAGGTTCATTCACACAGAAGGCACCACCCTAAGAGATGGTTTTATGAATCTGCTGGTAGGCAGCAAAAGCCTTAAAAATGGTCGGGCCAATGTGTCTTAGCGGTTAGGTGTCACTCCAGGAACCAAGAGGTCGCCGGTTGGAATCCTGGTCAGGGCACATGCCCAGGATGCAGGCTCCATTCCCAGCAGGGGTGTGTGCAAGAGGCAGCCAGTCAATTGTTCTCATTGAGGTTTTTGTCTATCCCTCACCCTTCCCTCTCTCTAAAAATCAATACAAACACATTTTTTAAAAATTAGTTAAAAAAACCCTTGAAAATATGTTTTGACTCAGCAATTGTACTTCTGATGTTTATCCAAAGGAAATCATCAAAGAACTACACAGCTACACTTAAGGATGTCTAGTTATTTATATTGGGGGGGGGGGAACAAACAAACAACAATGAGAGATCATAAGTTATGTAATCTGAGAACAGGAACTCCAGTCATGCTTGGAATTGGTTTTCCTCTTCATTTACAACCACGGGACAGTAAGTCTCCACTCAAGGCACATGGGAGAATTCACTACCATTAAAGTGTAACATATTAGGAAGAAAGCAGTTCTGAAAATACAGCCTATTTCAAAATTAAGTACAGAATTACATCTGGTCCACAGAACCTTTTTCTAAAGTGCTTATTTCTTAGTATTGGTTTGTGGGTGGTTTTTCTTCCAGTTCTTTTCTTGAAGGGCATCACTCTTATTAAAAAGATAATTTGCAGCTTAATGTAGGGCTATTTTCACCTTAGAAACTGCCTTTTAAAAAAGAAATAATTAAACCTGAAAGACTAATGAGTTGTTTTGGGTGTAGCTTTTATTTTCGAGGATCTAAAAATAACTTGATCCATTCATAAGCCTGTAATACCTGATGTAATATTTATTCAGTACCATTAATGAGGAACAGCATTAAACTTTAGTTTCCAATGGCTATTCAATAAAAGGAGACATGTGACACTTGAGGAGCTGGGGCTGACTTCTTTTCAAAGGAACTGAGTTGTTCTTTGGAAAGATTCCAGTAACTTGGAAACTAGTTACTTCCAGCAAAGCAGCATGTCATCCACTGGACCAAGCTGGGGGTTGACTGATTTTAACCATATAATATACCATTCAACACTTGGCTCCTATAATCTTCTTCCCTAAAAGAAATGCATTTTAGGCTAATGGGAAGGCATCAAAATCCACTCAGTTACTCTGAAAGCCTTCTTTTGGAAGATTTATCCTCTTTCTTGAGTGTCTTCAGTAAATCTGAAGTGCTGCTAATGAAGGAACTAAATCTTGTTACATTCAGGCTGCAGGCACTACCCTAATAAACTCCCTACATTTTAATCAGTTTTCCTCCAACACCAGGCTGGTGCTTCCGGGAGGAGAATCAGCAGCCAGAGGGCACTGTGAAGGGCGGGCGGGGAGATTCATGCAGACAGGGTGATCCATTACGCCAAGCCTCAGAGACTGCTCTGGAACAGGCAACGCTCCAGTACCAAACACACCGAATTTTCAAGAGACCACCTCATAAAAACATCAAATTAAAAACAGAGTATAACATCATCAGAAAAAATCACCCTTCTTGGCTCTAATAATATGGCCGACTTGTTTAGAATTCTCCAGAATGACAAATTAATACTTGGCCAAAATTTAAGAATTGCTGCCTGCCCCCCCCCCTTTCCCCCCAGCTGAAATGTCAATGGGGAGACGAAGTGAAAGGATGAGAGAGAATGATAGGGAAAATATGAATGCTTTGGTTGGAAAAACAAAGAAACTGCCTGAGCATCTCCAATAAGCACATAGAACTCAGCACCCTTTCACCATATTCTCACAGGTAGGTTCTCAACCATCTCCAGTTTGTAACAAGGACCATATCTAAGTAGCAGTCTACGCTGCAACTAAAATCCTCAGGTCAAGATGACAAGCCAGAATAAATTCGATTTTAAACAGAATGTCCGATCCTTAAACACTGCTGTGCCAGGCCAGCAAGACTCCACACAAACGGGAGACTCCAGAAGGACCCAACGTCACCGGCTGTATGGGAAGAAAACAAGTACTAACACTCAGAAACAGTGAAACATCTATTTTCTGCAGAAACAAATAAGCCCTAGCCGGCTTGGCTCAGTGAAGAGAGCATCAGCCTGCGGACTGAAGGGTCCTGGGTTCCATTCCGGCCAAGGGCATAGGCCTGTGCTGAGGCCTGATCCCCCGTGGGGGGGGAGGGGGGGGTGCGGTAGGCAGCCGATCAATGATTCTCTCTCATCATTGATGTTTCTCTCTCTCTCCTTCTCCTTCCTCTCTGAACTCAATAAAGAAATATATTAAAAACAAACAAACAAACCAGCTGTTAGGAACCCTGTGATCGCCCATCCTCCTCAACAATGCGCTGCCGCCACTGAGCACCAGCAGCAGCAGCCGCAGCCGCGTGACGATCCAACGAACGCGGCTCTCAAAACACAAACGACTCACCTCGGACGCACGCGTCTACCAGCAGCAGGAAAGCGGCGTTTCAACACGCTTTCCGGAGCTCACTTCTCCCGGGGGCGGCGGGCGGGCCCCCAACACCCCCCCACGGGTAATGGCCGCATCCCGGTCGCCCGCACTGCCCAGGCCCTGGCTGATTCCCGGCAGCACAGCCCACCTGGCGGTCTGATCGGCCCCGCGCTGCCCTGCGGGGCTCCGGGGCCGCCCGGGCATCCATCGCCCCTCGGGCCCCGGAGCGGGGACCCCGGCGGAGGGACCGCAGGGCGGCGGGCGGGGAGGACGCGGGGCCGCCGGGCCGCCCGGGGTGACACGGTCACAGCAGCCGGTTGTTGTCTAAAAGGACGGACCGCCGGCGACGCCGCGCGGAGGGGGAGGGGGAGGGCGTGGGGATGCGGCCGGCTCCGGCGAAGCCACGCTCGGGGGACGCAGACCCCGCGGGGGGTGGGGGGGAAGGCCGACGCCTCCCGGGCCTCCTCGCCGCCCCGACGCCGGGACTTCCTCCTCGGAGGGCCGGTGACCGGGCCAGGGCGCCCCGAGGGCGGGGCCGGGCCGGGCCGGGACGCTCACCCGCCGGCGAAGAGGTGGAGCAGCGTGTTCTCCTTCTGCTGAGAGCCGGTCGCCATGGCCGCGCCGGTTTCGCGGCCCGCCGCCGCCGGTGCCGATTTCAGTGCCGGTGCCGGTGCCGCCGCCGTTGCCGCCGGCGCGAGGCGGCTCGAAGGATGCGCGAGGCGGCCCGCTCCGCTGGCCCCGCTGCTCTCAGGCGCCCGCCGGCGCCGCCCCCATGAGGCGCGTCCCCACGACCCGCTCCCTCGGCCCGCGCACTCCGCGGCGAGGCCGCCGGCCCTTCACCCGCCTCTGCGGCGGCGGCGCGGCGTCCGGTGGAACCCCACCGCGCGGCCGTCACGTGGCGGGGGCCGGGTCCGACGTCACCCGGCTGCGCGCGCCGGGGCGGTGAATGGCGGGGGTGTGGACCCGGATCTGTGCTCCCATTGGGCGACGAGCGGATGTGGGCGGGGCCTCCGCAGAGCCCGGGGCGGGGTTCCGCTTTGGAGCGCGAGAGTGGGCGGGGCCAGCAGGGCCCTCGCGGTGGAGGGAGAACCGGCTTCAGCAGCCTGGTACCTGCTCGCAGGCTGAGGACCTGGGCCTGGCTGGCTGGGGAGCCATGGCCTTTTTACGTTTTTCGTCTATGTTTTCCTTGACTTTGTGATACGCACGATGTACAAGAAGGCATATACATTACATGTGACATCTCACAGCTCTGTACTCACCACCCAGTTTAGGGGGAAAAAAACACACAATCAAAAGCACTAAAACCCCAGTGTACCCCTAGTATAATTGTGTATATTTCTTATTTTTCCAGAAATGGCATTACACGCTGCAATACGCTTTTTGGCCTGTCGTTGGTGATCATCTCCAGACTGCTGCTCTGCTTGTCTGTCCTTGGGTCACCGTCACCCTCAGCCTGGCGTCTTCCCCACTCCAGGCCCCCACATGCAGGCCTTCCCAAGGTACCCTGGCAGCGCGTCTGTCACATGGCTCCGTGCAATTTCCTCGAGCAGGTCTCTGCCGTTACTTTGTGGATCAGTTGGTTTAAGTTGTCCTTTGGCCGGTGGGATGTCAGCTTCAGGGGTGCAGGGTCCTTGTTTCATTTGCTCACAGTTGCTCCTGGCAAAGTATCTGAGGCCAGTGACGCCCAAGAAATGAGTAAATGTCCCTAACTGAACTCATCATTCCATGCCTCTTCTATTTCCTGTCCTGGAAATATGATGACACCACCATCTGCACAGCCACCAATGCCAGAAACTTTCATGTTACCTTGAACTAACTCTTCTCTCCTCTCCTCTCCTCTTCTCTCATCTCTTCCTCTCTCTCTCTCTCTCTCATCTCTCTCCACCCCCCCCCTCCCCCTCCTCTCCCAAAAGTCATCACTCACCTGGCACTTCTATCTCCTAAAATTCTCCCAAACCCCTTCTCTGTTCCTTCCACTGCTGCTGCCCTTTCCAGTCAAAGCAGTACCTTGACCAGCCGGGAGCTGCCAGGCGTCCTGTGTGTAAACACAAAGAGCGCTTTAGCAGAAGGGGAATCGTGTGCACACACAGGAGCTGGGGATTTGATTGCTGGGACTCTTTAAAAACAACTCTCGGGGGCAGTCATCCAAAATGCAAATACAGTGAGTACTCTATATTAAAACCATTACTTCCAGGCCTAGAAAGGGAAAAGCCACACAGCACTCCACGGCATGGGGAAAAGGAAGGAAAGAAGGCAGGCTAAATATTCTTATGTTTAGTGAGAAAAAGTGTTTTCGATGCTTTCTGGATCTTCCCTTGCTTTGGTGGTTAGGAAGTCCGTGTGGGTCTCAGCTGAAGGTTTTTGAGGCAGAAGGAAAGAAGAGGGGAAAATAATTCGACCCGTTAGCCAGGGGGGAGCTGTGCCCACCTGGGTAAAACTCTAACCCCAAGGAGACACTGCTGTCCTTGGACGCTCTCTCTCCGAGGTGCTGGAGGCTGGGACCCAGGCCTCTGACGCCACGGCAGCACCCCACCTCCTGCCTTTTTTTGGGGGGGGCGGGAAGTGGGGGGGGACTGCCAGTCTAGGGCTGAGCTAGACACATAAACAGGCCTCCCCACCTGCTTGTTCATAGTTATGCTGCCTTCGGGTTGGACTTTATCCAAGGTCTTCCATGTATGTTGTCCTGCCGGGTCCTCACAATGTGTGTAGCCTGTTGTTTTCATTCTGTTTCTGTGGACCAGCAGGATAGAGTTGCTCAAGGTCACACAGCCAGCTAGTGGCTGATGCAAGCCTTTCACGCCTTCGTGCTCTGGGACATGCTGTCGCCTAGGAAGCTCCCTTCCACTGCGGGCGGGCCAGAGGGAGCTATCTGACTCGTCCGTCCGTCCGTCCATCCATCCGTCCGTCCATCCGTCCGTCCATCCACCCATTCAGCACGTATTTGTTGAGCTTTTGCTCTGTTCCAGTCAGCGTTCTAGGCTCTGAGGATACAGCAAGGATTAAAATGGATAAAAATATTTAGTAAAATGGTAGCAATCAGATCCAGCCATGGGTAAAAGGGATGAAGTGAATATTTCTGTCTTTTCTGCATCCAGTGTGGCTAGAGAGTAGGGGCAGCTGGGGATTGAGAAAATGAAAGAGACAGACACAGAAATAGAAGGAAAAAGCTGGGGCTAGTAGGACAGCTGTCCTCTGACAGGGACAAGGACACCCCCCTACTCCCCTGCCCCCAGCTCATACAGTGTGTTTATTTTACACAGCAAAATACCAGGAAGTTTTACTAAAGCCCATGACAAAGGAGATTATGCGAATTCTTGGGTGGGCTGGAGTCCGGAGCCATATTCATTCCTGGTGCTGGTTTGATTTAGACAACAAAACCCACCCCCTGGCACCTGGGCTGAAGGTCAAGCTGACAACAGTCCTGCCTCTGGCAAAGTGTATCTCCAGGATGTGGCTTTGCCTACGCCGCTGGCTTCAGCTGACGATAGTGGAAAAAATGCCCATGTGCCTTCCCAGGCACTCTCTGCAACAGTGTTTCCTAAAGTGTGGTACGCGTACTCCCAGGGGTACGGGAAGAGTTTGGTGGGGGTACGCGTTGCACCGGAGTTTGGTGGGGATATGCACTGCACCGTGCTTAGCTGCGCCTAATTCTCCGTTCTCATGAGTACGAGGGGTACTCAGCGTTACGAAAATTATACAAGGGGTACACATATGTCAAAAGTTTGGGAAACACTGCTCTACGGGATACTATTTCAGGGTCAAATGAGATATGCCCCAGGAATCTGAGGTTGGTTTAACGTTCCAAAATCAATCAACAAAGTTCAGCATACGTTGTGTACTGCTTCAATATGATTTCCAATCCAACTGTTTATGACAAAGAAAAAAAGGTGCTTTGATATAAGAATGACATAAGTCTTGCCAGGATGTCATGGTTTTACATCTGTTGTCACTGATAAGCAGTCAGCAGCCTAGCCTCTGGGGCCCCCTGGGGCTTATCCATTAGGACGTGTGGGGTAGCAGCTACAGCCAGGGGACCTTTAGAGCACATGTGTCAAACACAAGGCCCGCGGGCCAAATCCGTCCCGCCAGGCCTTGCAATGTGGCCCGCACCGCGATGTCATCACTGCACTCCGCTGCGTTTCCATCACAATGACAGTTTATGACTGTTCAGTAAACCATTCGGCCCGCGATTTAGGCTGGATTTTAGATTTTGGCCCCTTCTCTGATTGAGTTCGACACCCCTACTTTAGAGAATAAATACTGAGAACCTGGGAGGACTAGCTGAGAGTTTCAGTGTGGACGGAGGGACTCCTGCTAATATAAAAACGTGCAGAAGACCCTCGGGCACCTGTCCTGTCGTGGTGAGGTTCTCCGGGAAGACAGTGGTGACAAATATCTCAGCCCCAGGTGAAAGCGATCAGCCCACCACCAACGTTGGCATCTTTGTTCCCTAGCAACATGCCCTAGCAACCCAGGACTTAGACTTTTGAGCTGGCAGCAGATGTCAGCTCTTTCGTTGGTTGCCATTGCTCCCGGTGCCTACTCACATCAAAAGATGCACCTCTGTGGAAATCTGGACTCTATTCCTTCCCCTCCCCTTGCCGGGAACAGTAGTGTGATTAATCTGTCATTTGTTTGGAATAAGTCATTTCTTCATTTGACTTACTAAGAGCTACCCTGTATATGATTGGATTGTGAAATAATTATACACTGAGTGGCCAGATTGTTATGATCTCTGAACGCATAATAATCTGGCCACTCAGTATATGTATTAGAGGCCTGGTGCATAAATTCGTGCATGGATGGGGTCTGGCCAGCCTGGCCAGGGGGAGGGGACATGGGCAGTTGGCTGGCCTGCTTGCTGGTCGAACTCCTGGCTGAAGGGACAATTTGCATATTATCCTTCTATTATATAGGATATACACTGAGTGGCCAGATTATTATGCATTCAGAGATCATCATAATCTGGCCACTCAGTGTACTTCTCACAGCAAATCTGTTATACATAAATTGCTGGCAAAGATAAAACTTAGTTTCTAAATCATGCTTTTGCAGCCTCCCAAAGCAAAAACAGAAGCAAAGCAGCCCGTTACCAGAATAAATGAGAAAAATCAGATGATCATGTCAATAGATGCAGAAAAAGCATTTGACAAAATTGAAAACCCATCTTTTAAAAAAGTTCTCAGCAAACTGAGAATCGGAGGGAATTATATTGCCCGAGAAAGGGTGCCTGTAACAAACCCACAGTTAACATCATATTTCATGGTAAGAGACTGCCTGTCTGCTTCCCTAAGGTAGGCAACAAGAAGAAGCATCTGCTCTTATTCAGCGTGGTACTAGCAGTACCAGTCAGCGCAATAAGGCATGAGAAAGAAATAGAAGTCAAAGCCCTGGCTGGGCATCTCAGTGGTTAGAGCATCCTGATATGTCAAGGTTGTAGATTTGATTCCCAGTCAGGGCACATACAAGAAACAATCAATGAATGGATAAATAAATGGAACAATAAATCAATGTTTCTTCCCCCCCCCCCCCTCAAAAGAAAAAAAGAAAGTGAGAAAGGAAGATGTAAAACTGTCTTTAGGTGCCTAGGGCTGGAACTGGACTGGGGAAGGGCTTTTCTACAAAAAGGCTAGAACTTCTGAGGGTGGTGATCTGCATCCTGACCAGTGATCCTGGAGACCCAGCTGAGTTGGAGGGAGCTCTTCCCTCCTTGGTCATCATCACTCTCTTGAGAGAAAAAATTCAGATGAATGACTGTAAACAGTGTTGAAGCAAAGCAAGAGAATTTATGAAGGAAGTAAAACAGGTACATTTATTAAGAATACTAGAGACCCGGTGCATGGATTCGTGCACCAGTGGGGGGGTCCCTTGGCCTGGCCTGCACCCTCTTGCACTCCGGGACCCC